TTTTTCAAGGCCACGGGACTACTTTTAGTATGGAGTATCATCGCAAACATCATCTGGATTAAATATTTAGTGTCTGTATGGAAAATAGTAAATACAGCATCACAATTTTCTTGAAACTGCTTTTGTGTTGAGCTATTGTTGCATTGTTAATATGTTTATGGCATCTGATTTCATCCTTCGAAACTTTGTGCCCGAAAGCAAGAAGATATCTGACAATTAAACATTGGACACATTTACTAAGTTTGGAGTAAAATATTTTGAAATAAATTTTATTGAAATGGGCGCACCCGTTCGCCCGTCACATTTTTGGGACATAATAACCCTCCTTCTAATTGAGTTAGAACTCTCAAAAGTTGGTGTAGGTGTTAATTAGGTGAATACATTAATGAAGTTCGAAGATGGGCATTTAATGCTTAGGCTACGCAGAGATAAGCAATATGATTGGCTGATGCTTTGAGACACAATAACTTTGGTGGTTCTAATTAAGCGCGAGTAGTGAAACTTAGTGAATATATTTCATTACATCAATGACTTGACTAAGTTCGACAATGAGCATTATCTGCTAAGGGTAAGCTGGGCCCTGTTTCACGAAATTTTAACTAAAGGTAAAATCCAAATTTTAGTAGATACTTCAATTTTGATTGGCTAAGCACTAAAATCAATCTAATATTATCCAATCAAATTACTAAAATTTGGATTTTATCTTAGTTAAAATTTCGTAAAACAGGCCTCTGAGCAACAAGCAATTTGGTTGGTCAAGAGTTTGAAATACAATAACTCTTCCTTGAATTGATGTAGGATGGTTAAACTTGGTGCAAGTTTTTATTAGGCGAATGCGTGATGGAGTTCAAAGATGAGCATTTTCTGCTTAGGCTAAGCGGTTTGATTGGTTGAGGCGTTGGACACGATAACTTTGGTTCTGATTAAGTGAGAGTAATCAGACACGGTGTATAGTTCCTTTACATCAATACCTTGATGAAGTTCGATCATGGACATTTTCTGCCCAGGATAAACAGAGCGATAAGCAATTTGGCCGAGACTATGGGGATTTGAATTGAGCGAGAAATTTCGTGTCTAGTTTCATTACATCAATACATTGATTATGCGCATTTTCCACTAAGGCTAAGCAGAGATAAACAATTTGATAAGTTGGTACTTTGGAGCACGATAACTTTGGTTCTAATTGGGTGAGAGTGGTGAAACTTTTTCTGCTTAGATTAAGTATAGGTAGTCATTTTGATAGCTCGATACTTTTCAAAACGATAAATGTGAAATTAAATAATGTGCCACCTATTTATTTTCGGATTTAATAAGTTCGTGAATTAAATCTGATCTCGTAGTTGTTTAAATGGCGGTTGAAATTGAGATGAAGACACGTGATGTTTACGTTTATAAAAAGGTAAAGTGTATTATTACTAAATGGAATACGGCAAAATTGTGTGTATAGTGATGTAAATGAAACCTTTACATATCGATATAATTTTTCGGTAAACGTTGTTAATTTAAGGCGGAACTAACCACGCGGAAATCCCACACTTCCCGGAAACCAAATTGAAAATCTAAGACTTGTCTACTGTACTGCATATATCATAGTATCAATTGAGAGACAATGTCTGTCCTCATCTTTTATCGTTTTAGCTGTAGGTAAAAGTAAAGAGATAGAAATTTTCGTTTACATGATAACACTATTCTGTGTTGGAAAAATAATATGCTCGACCCTGTTTGTGTCGAAACTAGTTTGCAAGAAGATGGCGCAACTTTACCTTGCCCTGAAATGGTCATGCATGATGAAATATTTCCTGCATCAGATCAGATGATGTGTGGTGATTGTTTTCTGAAGATATGCCAGGTTTCATTTAAATATCTAAAAATATCGTTCAAGGAAGACAACTCTTCTTGATTTGTTGTATTTCGTTTCATCCTCATCATGTCACGACATTACGCATGCCTACGTTTTTAGACTGCGCCAAAAGAAATCAAAATTAACCTCATCTCTTTAATGCTCTCCGGTATCAACTCTGTTCAGCACCCTTGCCTGTTCTCAGAATTATTGTACTTTCTATAACAAAACAGTTGCTATCACAAAAATACGGCATGATGGTGATGACGCAATTCCGTCGTTTTCAAGAAAAAGACATATTTTGCTTGGGGAGGGCCTTATATGAATAGCTGCCTACTCGTTCGGATGGGACGAAAACCCGACGTCCCGTGTACACATTGAGGTGCACGTAAATGATCCATTGACAGTTGGAATTCGATATAAGAGTACGCCATAGTGTTGCTGACCAGTGTTACATAATCAGATCATCTGATGTTAAAGACGCTTCCTGCCAACTTGACACCTGTTCGTTATCGACATGCCTGGAGTCCTTGGTCTATGTGATTATGTAATGATTATGTAAACGTTAACTTGCTGGCATGTTTTATTTAAACTTTCTTTGTCTGATTAGCATGTATCGAATGTTAAACTATATATGATACATTAGCCAGATGTCTAATAAGATTCCTTTGTCTGGAATAGTTTATAAACCCAGATTAACAAACGAAAACAGATAGAGGTCCGGCCAGGACAGGCCACGCAGGTTTGGAGTTAAGGCCATGTAATGTAAGAGTTGGGAGTTGGCACACTCGTGCCTAGCCGAGCTAGGACATGACTCTCTCAACACAAGCTAGTTATGGAGTCTTTAAGTTTTGTATATAATATGTTAGAAGAAGCAGATAATAAAAGTATTTTAAGATGTTAAACTAGTCTTGTCATCCGAACCTGATTAAAGAACAAATACTGTCACATATTAATTGGCGCCGCTGACCAGAGCAACGTTTGAAGTCCACCACTAGAAGACCACAGGCCACAGATATTAATCTACACGGGTACGTCTTTTTTTAATCCTACCATGGGCGGTTAATAATGACATTGTGCTATAATGTATTATAATTTAACTGGGAAATCAGCAGTTTATCATCACGCTTTATTAAATATCATGGTGTAGTTACTTAATTTAATATACAGTCCTTAACTATTTGTAGGAAAATGGCTAAAACAAAATTGTATATATATTGTTTGTTTTACAATGGGTCATGTTGTTTTTAAAAGATTATAAGTTATAATTGTTTGTTTTTGAACACATATTTTGGCATTTAAAAGTAGTAGTAACAGGATAATATCGAAAAGTAAAATGTTTTGTGATTGTTTAACTAGAATTGGGTTAACAGTATCGTAATTTGAAATTTAACCCAATAACATTCACAAAGTATTAACGCGTTTATCTCTAAGTTTTTTTTGTTGTTGTTGTTTTGTCTATATGTGTCTATTACCCCAAATGTTAATGGGATGCCCCGATATTTACGGGAGAGAATTTTATTTGTGATACCCCTAATGTTAATATGGGATAGCCCAGATATTAATGGGATGACCCGATATGTACGGGAGAGATTTTTTATTTTGTGATACCTCAATACTATGAAATTGGGATGACCCGATTTGTTACGGGAAAAGTTTTATGTGAAACCCCAGTCAGGTGGGATTGGTTTAACCCCAGGAGAGGGTCGTGCACAGAATTCAGAGCGAACGTATTGTCTTGTTTTGTGTTGTGTTTCAAAAATTATAGAGATAAACCGTTAATAATTTTGATAAGTTCTTTCAAAATATCTTATTGAAGATTGGTAAAATGTGTTCAGAAAAAAAACAAAACAATATGACATCCTAATTTCAATTCTATCCATGTAAATAATAATGTAAATATCGTTAGATAGCTAATTAAAGTCTGTTCCACTTGCTAATTTGATTAACTATTAATTAAGTTCACTCCATGATATGATAAACAGATGATAAAACTTTGGCATGGGTGGCAGTTATAATACTCTTCATAGCACATGTCGCACCGTTCCGGCCAGGCGGTATGGAAAATATAAGACTACCGGAAAACACTGACCCCTTGATATTACGGAAAACTTATACAAGAAGAAGACGACGGAAGAAAAGAAGAAAAAAAAAATGAATTTGTATCTCCCTACAGTTGGCTTCAAGGATTGTATTTCGCGCTTCTCGAGTGTGTGCGAACATTAGAATAGTTACATTGGGTTGTTTTTTGTTTTTTTACAATTAGTTTTACAGTGTTTTTTTTTGTTATAATTATTAGTGATTAAAGAACAAATACTGTCACACCGGGCAACACAGAAAACTGGGGTCATATGTCACGAGAGAGAAAAAAAGAGAGAGAGAGAGAAATGGAGGTTAACGTTCACTCGACCCAAACTAGGTCATTTCCGGACTAACGTGTTTCATTTTATTTCATTAATTCGCTTGCGCGTAGGGGTCTTTAGCAGTGGAAGGACCCGGAGTAAACCCACGAGGTTGGACAGGCTACCCTACTCCTTGTCACATACTACTTTCTATCTACACTGGGGCCATGGGACGAACGGGATAACGTAAGTTCACAGTAGTGTTAGCCCAGTGCAGGGTGTCAAGTGTCGTAAATAAGTAGGATGTCCATTTCTCACGATATTGCAATTCAGAACAAAACTAAAATTTGCTGAATTTTAGCGTCGGACCATCATCATTAATCACTCACAACAGCCCTCTCATCAGGTGTACAAAAAGTGCAGTAACACATCGCAATATATCAGAAATATGCCAGCCATCACATTTAAGGTTTTTTAATTTGGGAATTTATCGCAAAGAAATTTAACTGAATCTGTTAATGAAGACGGTCATACGCGATACGCTATGAGCTAGATTTTACTCTGACAGCGGCTCTACGGCCTACTCTTATTTCGAATTCCAACTGACAAGGTTTCTTTTAAAGGCATGCCAATGTGTACATGGCACCCACTGAAAAAGGTAAACCACGCTGGAAAAATCTGGGTAACTTTCTCGACCAACACCAGGATCGAACTCCAGGCCTCCTGGTTAGTGATCCAGCGCCTAACTCACTGAGCAGCCGCGGCTCCCCAACTGAACTTGTATATGTATAATTTGTTTTAAAATAAAAAGATTATAATAATGAGTTTACTATATTTTATTATAGTACAATCACTTGCTATATACAGTCATACTAAATACAATATTATAAACATATTTCTAACAATCTGGAGGATAACTTGAAACATTCCGTCATTTATAGAACTACTTTTCCAATCCAATAATTTATAATCTGGAGGTTAAGTACGAGGGATACATTCACCCCCTAAGAAATTGGAGCATCTGACTTTTTTATTATTACAACATGGTCGGAACATATGACAATCACCACCGATCTCTGAACATTGTCCATTTAAGTCAAGCATTCCTCTTTTCACCATGTTTTCCCTAAAATATATGAAAAAAACTTGATAATAACAGTGCAGAAAACAATTACGAAAGGTCAGCAGTATTTACAGTTAGAAATAAAGAATCAATTGCTCAGAAATATTGAAATAATATAGTACATTCCAACTATAATAAAAGTTTTAAGGCCCAAAATGTTGATTAAATAAGTGGTACTTTACTCTTTCTTGTGGTTCTGGGGTTATCTTAGTTAACGACCGTCGTTTACGTGAAAATGTAAGAGCAAAATGTCTATACTCACTCAGCATCCCTCCTCATTACTTGTTCCTTGAAGGCTAGAGCTGATTCAACAAAATCCATGTCCACATCTTAATACAAACAATTTAGAAAAATAAATGAATTATATGTATGAATAAATGATATAGATGTTGAAATCACTTCAACCCATTAAAAGCCTATAAAGAATGTTGTCAGAATATTTTAGAGAAAGTGATGCCATCGTTATGAAAGTAAGTATATTCTGTGTCCACTAGTTATTAGTATTCGGAGCGGTATCAAGGGAATGCAGTTGTCACCAATAGCAGTGCACGGGTTGGATCCTTTCTCGAGAGTAGTCAAAGCGATAATCTATAGCAGTCCACTGGTGAAGTTTTTAACTGGAGTAAAAAGCCATACCCAACAAGCGCACTCGTTACCTATATCAATCAACGGGTTGTCAATCGTGTGAAGTCTTTTCCAGAATAGTTCTTGGGGCGTGAGGAGGTGTCGAGCGGGTAAGGTCTCTTCCCAGAATAGTTCTTGTGGCTTCAAGAGGTGCCGAGTTCGAGAAGTCTTGGTTGAAAATTTCAGGGTAATTACACTTCTACTGTAATCATGTGAACTCGTTTGGTTTTTTTTACTTTCGATGGCCTCTACTACATGAAGATCTGACCGGTTGTAGTGGAAGGTCGTGTCAGAGGTCATACGAGCGACTTCTGACCCTATGACGCCAGACATTTGATTAATCAATCAATGTTAATGTTTCTAGTGGGTAACCCACAGTTCATTGCACAGCACCGTTTCATTGACTAATCCCTCACACCATCCAGAACGTGGGTTATATAACAACTCTTCCAGATCCTAGTGTAGTCAAGACAAGTAAAACGAAATTTTGAACTATACAAAACGAAACGAAATAGGATCTGTGTTTTAGTCAGATAGTTTATATCATTACCAAATTCAATAGGACGAAAATAAAATCGTTCTCCAAGATGAACATTCAACTCTTTAGTTGTCATTATTGCATGAGTGGAGGATCTTTTCAACCATTTATCAAAACACACGAGCCCTTTTAGACTTGAAAAGTAATTAAGTCTTCAGCTAAAATTGTGGTTAGCTATGACATCATAATGAGGTCATTAGCGCATTTCTAGGAGTGGCCCAAAAGTTAAAATTAACAGGGTATGGGACCGTATAGGTCTGCCAAGTTCGATGCGTTTAACTCCTGTGAAAAATTTCAGTGCATATACACGGGTTTCAAATTAGGTAGTGAAAATGAAATAGAAACTCGATTACAATTCAGAAACAAAACCTGTATTTTCAGTTTATGGCAGGTCATCATCACAGAGTACTAACAAGTAAGAAATTAAAAGTTATCAAAGCAACTTACCTACGGCATAAGCCGCAACTACTAGGACACAGAGTGTAACTAAAACTAGTTTCATCATGATTGAAAATCTGATCGTCTGTACTGAAACAAGCTGATACTAATACTAAGTCAGCAAAATTGTACTGTTTTATACAAACTTTGAACACAATTACCTTTAAAACATGATTTATCATCTTTATTATCCACAATTATCAAATTGGCTTCTGTTTATTCATGGGTAAATTTAAATAATTCTATAGTATATATTAATCTACGCATTTACAATTATTTATGTGACAGCACTAACTTAGCATTATTTTTAATACAGTTACTATATAGTTTCATAAAGATAATCTGGGAATGTGTACATGTCTATCTCCCAACATATGGAAGAATAGCGTTGCCAATATAGCGTCACACTACCAGACAAGTTCGCTGAATTCTTTCAAGATAAAATGTCCAAAATCTGACTCGATATCAGATGTGATCATAATTATGTTCTTTCAGAGAACCATCAACAGCTACTTTAGGCGAATTCATACCATTTACGGAGCCTGAACTTAGTCATTATGAAAAACAGAGAGAGAAATGGGGTTTTAAAGTCCACTCGACACAAACTAGGTCATTTCGGGACTAACGTATGGTTTAATTTTATTTCAACAATTCGCTTGCGCGTAGGCGTCTTTAGCAGTGGGAGGAAACCGGAGGACCCGGAGAAAACCCACGAGGTTGAACAGGCGACCCTACTCCTTGTCACGTACAATCGGGGATTCGAAACCACGCCAGTTGACTCAATGACAGGCCTTCTGATACAGCGCGCACGAGCTAACCATTCGGCCACCCCCCTCCCCCGATGAAAAGCAAACCTAAGACCTGCGAACTGGATCCAGTACCAACATGCCTCGTCAAGGAACATATCGAGTCAGATACTAAACAAGTCGCTTTCTGATGGCATCGCCCCTTTTGAATTCCGATGCGCAATTGTTAAACCATTACTGAAGAAATCCACGGTCGATCCGGATGGTCTAAAAAATAAACTGTGGTTCTGTCAGTAATCTGAGTTTCCTATCCAAAATTATTGAAAAATGAATTCTAACTCGTCTAAATGGAGATATTAACGAAAATCATCTAGAGAATCAACTTCAATCGGCATATAAATTATATTGTAGCACGAAAACGGCACTTTTAAAAATAACAAATGATATTTACCAGTCTATTAATGCTCAGAAATGTGTGTGTCTAATACTTCTGGACCTCTCCGCCGCATTCGATATTCTCAAAACACTGAGTGTCGAATCTGGTCTTGGTGATTCTGTGTACTCTTGGTTTGAATTGTACTTAAGATGTAGTTCCCAATGTGTCAAGTTAAATTCTTCAAATTCAGAGACAGTTGACATGGTATGTGGCGTTCCACGGGGCTCAGTATTGGGCCCTGTCCCATTCACCATCTTCACGAAACCGATTACAAAATGAAATGAGATTGGGGTTTAACGTCCTAAACTGTTCTGCTCTGGCTGGGGTTATGAATATGCGTTACACTTACAGTGTGCTATGAGAGATAATTTGCCCGGACAGCTGCATTATGGACTACTCTTATATCGAATTCCACTGCCAAGGATCTTTTACGTGCACGCCAATGTTTACACGGGACCTCGGTTTATGACTAGATAGCTGTCCTTGTCCGTCCGTCCTGCTCTACTGAAAAGGGGAAACTTTCTCGGCCACTGCAGGGATCGAACACACGACCTTCAGGCTAGCGAGCCAGCGTCTTACCCACCGTGGCTTCTGAAGCCGATTACAAAGATAACGGCAGATTTATGATTAATAGTCAATCTTTTTACCGACCATACCCAACTCCATTTGGAATTCGATGCAAATTCTCGCATCCCAATTCTTGACTGTCAAAAACTGTATTGATGAAATACACAATTGGATGACAAAACATTTTCTGGAGCTAAATCTCCAAAAAATCGAATTCTTAATCATTGTTACCAAACAGCTACAAACAAAATTCCGATCTGAAAATATTACCCTTAACTTTGACAATTAGGAGATTATTTAATCAGCAATGACCAAAATAATGGGTCAGTTATTGATTCCAACCTCAGTTTTAAAGAACATGTTCAGGCAGTTTGTTCCCCTTCCTTCTGTCATCTCCATAACATCAAGATCAAAAAGTATTTAAACAGAGATCTCCTGTATCAACTTCCAGAAAACCTCATAAGGCAGCTACAATTACTCACTGGGAAAGGACGAATTGACAGCATCTCTGCCACATTATCATCTTAAAGATTGTCTACCCGTTAAGTTTATTACATATAATATAGCGCACATTACTGCAATATATGCATTTAATGGCACTGTACAATTAATAAAATATATAATTTATTATATACATACATATAAATATAGTATACTAATGGTTAATTAATTAATTCGTGAAGATCCTTTGAAAGAGATACGTTTGTAGTATTTTTTTTAAAACTATTTTGAGATTTAAATTTTTTTTTTATACGGTCGTGTACTAGTAGAATCAAATTGCAGAATAATCCTAAAAAATTTGCAAGAAAACATTTTATTGCATTTTCTTATAGTATTTGGTCCAGAGAGCAACATATCAAAAGTTGTCTGAAATTGAGCTACCGCAAAGGGTCTAAATATGACGTCATAATAAAACTGCCCAACAAAATGGCGGCTCTTTGTACGCAAATTGTGTATAAGTATGTAATACAAAGGTTTATGGACCCCTAGAGGTCACAATTTTTATCCAATGTTGATGAAACTTAAAACTTATCTTTATATTCCCAACATCTCAGTTCCTTTTGATATTTGCGCATTTCAAACCATAACTTTCTGGATTATGGCCCCTGATTGTACAAAAAATCGTTTTTGTTTTTGGCTTCTCTATCCATCTCTTGCAAATTGTGGGCGTATTCTGCCTGGCAGCCGCTGGTTTATTCTAGGTATGCAAATATAAATGTGCCATATTTACATATTTGAAAAGAGTAATGAACGTGCTTTCCAGTAGTACGTAACATGCTATCTGGAATTTCGGATGACGACAGGTATTTTTACTTTACTTTACCCGACATAGATCGTTTTTCTTGTCAGTGATGCAGGGCGGAGGGTCTGACAAGGACAATTGTCTAGTTGTTCGGATGGGACGAAAAACCACGGTCTCGTGTGCACATTGGCGTACACGTATAAGATCCCTTGGCAGTTGAAATTCGATATAAGAGTCGGCCCTAGCGCCGCTGTCCGGACAAATTTTCCCTCGTAGCACACTGCATGGCGTCTGCATGTCTTCATTATCCCAGTCGGAGAACAGTGGGACGTTAAACCCCATTTCATTGGTCGTTTTTCAGGTCTGTAAATATGTGTACCACCCCGTTCTACTGACCTTGTAGATTGATCGCCTAAATTATTAATTTCCGTCCTAGTCCGGACATTTTTCCGTATGCAGATGAGGTTCGCCGTAGATTCTATAAAAGGTATATGTTCTATTATGCATTTGTCTATAATGCAGAATGGAGAAGTGTAATATGCAAAATAACTATTATACTGTATTTGAATTATTGAAAAGTGTATTCTGTATTTTAACACTGTGTCTTTGGTATTGTGGAGCAATAAAATTGCAAAACTAAATACGTATTTTGAACTTTGGTATTGTGGAGCAATGCAAATTTAGGCCTTCGCGTAAAAGGAGAGCTCGCCTCATTGTCTAAATTGACTCCCCTCAAAGAAAACAATCAGGAAAATTATTGTCAATATCGGCAATCAACTTGCCTATCGGCAACAATGACAGCCATACCTTAGTGAGAATCGGCCATCTGGTTCATAATCCGTGTAATTAGCACATTTAACGGTAATTTTGATAATTCGGTAACATGCCCCCCCCCCCCTCACACGTGACATGCATCGGTTGGAATAAGGTCAATAAACCCGCATTGCTAGATTTAGTTTTAAATAGCGTTTAGTTTAATTCATTTTTATTGTATACACATGCTGACAGGGAGTTATTTTTTTTATAATATTGTCCTTATTACTTAAGGCTATGGCATAGTCGTACGGAATTTTATTTTATTTAAAGCAATTTCAATTATGGTTGTCATGTGATCATTGTGCCGTTTGCCTATCATCCACGAATGAATAAAAACTTTTTAAGTTACGTGATAGACAAAAAAAATAATTTGTGTTTTAAATATGAAGAAATGCCATGGTGTCGTATCAGCTTATTTTCTGATACTGGTCGTAGTAGAAAAATCATAATTTCGCTTGACTGATGACATCCGTTTATCCATCAAAAAAACGAAGACAGTAATTTATTCAGGAATATTACTGACCTGAACTTCAAGTCATATCTTAGCCTATTCAGAATATGACATTCTCCATAACAAATTACCCCAAAATATTTTTTGGGAAGTCTGGTTATATTAAAGTTAACGGGGGGTTCTAATTACCCTATTTCTTATCGGGACTTCATTTGACCTAATTCTGGACGGTTGGTTTCAAAATGGATTAAAATCCCTGTTTTGATCACAAATGCTAAAAAAAGCTTTCCTCAAGAGATTCAGGAGAGCGATTTGCCCTTTTTTCCAATTTCAGGCGAGCATTTTTTTTTACTCTCCAGGAATATATTCAATGAAGGCCTGGAAATTGTAAAACCAACCGGTGACATATGCATTTGCACCATGAACAGTGAAATATTATTGGCAACGTTATTCTTCCATATCTACACGTTATATATAACCAGCACTGCACTGAATGAATCTAACGATTATTCAAGTTAAAATTTCGTGAAACAGGGCCCAGAAAACAAATTGCCTCTATTATGTAGTTTGTATGATAACCAACCATCCCAAACAGGCTATCATAATATTAGTTTTATTAATAGATGTAATTTGAGAAAAATTTATTGATAGGGATAAGTTATTGGAATTTTAGTACAACCTAGTATAAAGTTATTGTGTACTTCCGGGGAGAGAGAAATGGGGTTTAACGTCCACTCGACACTTAACATGGTTTAATTTTATTTCAATAATTCGCTTGCGCTTAGGGGTCTTTAGCAGTGGGAGGAAACCGGGGGACCCGGAGAAAACCCACGAGGTTGGTCAGGCGACCCTACTCCTTGTCACGTACAACCGGGGATTCGAAATCA